ATATATATATATATATAGAAAAGAGTAAAGCGGGGGTAGAAGTATGAATCGAAGAGCGTCACACGCGGGTGTGCCGTCGTACCGGCACGGCTACACCTCGCCCTCCGGCATAAAGGTACAGTACAGCAAAGACTGGGTGAAGTATCACCCGCTCGAGGGCGACGGGCTGCGGCCGCTGCTCTACATGCACCTCTGGAAGAAAGACAAGGGCAGCGAGAGCAGACTAAAGAATGTGCGCCTTCCAGACACCGTTGTGTATGAGCACGACTTCCCGCGCGCCTGGTACACGTACGACAGCGAGGCGAAGGAGATCAACAAACACCCAGGCAAGATGCTAGACGCGCAGTCCATATACCAATACTTTAGCCAAACCACGCCGGGGTGCGACGTGGTGGCGCAGTTCCTCACCACCTGTGCACCGGAGGATTCTGCGGCCGCTACTGACGAGGACCTCCTCACATACGTGGTGTACTTCACAGCGGATGCCCTCCGGGAGTTTTTATTTGGACAGAAGCGAAAGCCCGACGGTATCCTGCAGAAGTTTGTGCTTCCCAAGGGCGAGACGACGACGCGGAGGAATGCACAGCTGCAGGTCCTGTGGTCACCGCTCGTGACGGTGGTCTACAAGCGGACAAACAAACACAGACTGGACGAACTGCACGTGCCCGCCCACCTGCGCGCCGCCACCTTTGATGGTGACTGCCACCTGAGCGAGTTGTCACTCGTTGCAGATGAGTCGAAGGGTCGCCTGGACCGCCTTTGTCGCGAGGTGGTTGACCACGTCTACTTCACCGACCGTAAGCTCATCACCCGCATGGTGATGAACTTCAAGGTCGACGACAATAATCGGGCGTGGCTGCTGTGGTGCAGCTCCCTCCGCGTTTCCGGTGACAGTCTTAACCCACGCAACGTGCAAGTGCCGGTGGTCCTCTCGATGCGGATGGAATTGCTGAACGATGGCTCGTCGACGAAGGACCGTCTATTGAAGCGGCGTGAGCGGCAGCAGCGACTACTTGTGATGGATACCGAACTCTTCGAACTCTCACGAGACTACGATTTTGGCCACCGCTGCAATGCCTCACACGTGCGTGAGGCACGACGCCTTTTCCTCGCGCCGCCACGCGACGCACCGGCGACGAACACACCGCGACAGGGCCCGGCGCACCCGCTGCACGACGCGGTGCGGTATTTGACGGCCACGCGGGCG